CCTCTGGAAGGGCACTCGAGCTTGCTGCTCGGGCCCCCAGGCGTGGAGGCGTCGCACGTTGCCACTACCGCCGACGCCTGCGTCAACGTCAGCGATGCAGCTGGCGATGCCCACTCTGAGGGCCTCCTTTTCAGAGTGCATATCCCTCCACGTGTCGTGGAGGTGCTGAAGCCAGGGGTCCACCAGCGGCGATGCTCGAGCAGTGCGCCTCGGTGCCGCCGTGGATACTTGCCCCGGATGTGTCCCTCCGCACCCGCGCATTGGGCGCCTGCTTCCGTCGCGTGGACGTAGCGCTCTCGGCGCTCAGAACATCCCGTGACACAACCAAGGGCATGCCCCTCGTGAGTCGGGTTGTCGCTTTACATACTGAGCACCGCAAACTGCACGATCGTCAAGAGGGGTGCGCATCGGGGCCCAGTCCTACCAGGCTGCTGGAATGCGCGGGTGGGGCGAAAGGTCACGCAACAAGAGAATGAAGACGGTCTGGGGTTAGGAGACTGGGGTTCGGAGAGATGGCGGGTTCGGCGCTGACTGCGCTGATCTCGGTCTCCAGATCCGCTTCGCTGTCCCTCGGAATGCTGGTGACATAATCACCAGAACCTCCATTGTTTTTCCGCCGCCCTTCTCTGCCTGCTCTTCCCAGAGCCCTCGTGACACACCCACTAAAGCTCAGGACCCTTAGCCGGCACCGTAGATGCGATCGTTGTATCGAGCAGCTGTCCGGCATCTGCGGCTATCCCCACAGGCGAAGGGTCCAAGAGCTGCGCTGGCACAGTCAGTGCAAGCCCGAGAGAGACCGCTGAGAGCTCCAGCGTGCCACGATCGTTGTCGTCGTCGGCGGCGCGGCCGGGGTCCTCGTAGGTTTCGTTGATGTACTTCTTGGGGTAGGTGCGCGCCCTCTCCGTCACCAGTGCTGGCGGATGGGCTGCTGCCGTGACAAACTTGTGAATGATGTCTCCTACCACGGTGAACGGGAATAGGTGCACAAAGGCGAAACGACGTAAGAGCGGATGAACAGCGCGGTGAACAGCGGCATGAAAGAGCGGCGGGACAGGGCGAGGCCGTGGCAACCGAGCATGATGCTCTGCTAGCAGCTAGACAAACAGATGTTATATGTGATGAGTTAACAGAGGAATGTGCGCTAACAGCGAAGAGGAAGTGTCTAACAGCGATGTTCAGCGGGCGCGATACAGGGCAGGAAAGCACAGGGTTGATGAGGTACCGTTCGAGTAGGAAGGAGAGGAGGAAGAGGAACAGAAGGAGAAGGACGAGGAGGAGGAGGAGGAGGAGGAGAACGAGGAGGAGGAGGAGGCGGAGAACACTCCTGCAGGCGCGCAGGCAGCAATCCTGGAATAATTACAAAACTCGCAGGGAATTCGAAAAGCCGTGGCCGCACAGGCAACCAGGCAACCAGCAGGAGTGCCCTGCGAGTGAGGCCAGGACATGCGAGTTCATGCAGGAACCTGCCCCCCGAGAGGTGGGGGAGGCACAGGGAGCAGGGAGGGAAGGAGGGACGCTCTGGAGAACTGCGAGCCCAGTTGGTGAGCCGCTGGGCAGGAAGATAAAAAGGCAGACAAGCGGGGGCCTCCGAGCTGCATTCGAAACCACAACCGGATTTCCTCATGGGCCGATCGGGAGGCCTTGACTCCCGAGACAAGGTGCTCCCAGAAAGGCCCCGCCTCGGAGGGGTCAAGAACCTGGTATCTCGCCCTCCGCAGAGTCCGGCGAGGGAGCACATCGGCAGCTTCGCCAGCGGAAGCATATGGTGCATCTCCTTGCGTTATCTCCGCGCACTTGCTCGGAGCCGCCCAAGCACGGCAGCACCGGCGGCGCGAAAAGTGGAGCGGCGGCAGCGAGGGGGACAGAAAGCGGAGTGAAGGCAGTCGAGGGGGAGGGGGAGGAGGGGGAGGAGGAGGAGGAGGAGGAGGAGGAGGAGGAGGAGGAGGAGGAAAAGAAGAAGGAGGAGGAGGATGAGGAGGAGAAGGAGAAGGAGGAGGAGGAGGAGTGGGGTGGAGTGGGGCGGACGCCATGACAGTGTCATATCCAAAGAAGCAACGCCCCCGCGACATTGAGGACGCACACCACGACAAGGTACGCGGGGCGCGCGAATTGGAGGAACAAATTCCCGAATACCGCGCGCCACCACTTGAGAAACCAACGCCTCCCACTTGAATGACACGTATACCACTGCCACCGAACAGCTGAAAACCTCACGCATCACATATCCACCACTTGGAGTGTACTGACGGATTCCCAACTATGCTGTGGTGTTGTGTATTCGTTTTGAAGAGCCAGTGCCCCGCGTTCCCCCTCCTCTCTCCTCCCATCCCTGCTCCTGCTCTCCCATGTCCACTCATTTCGGCACACCCCTCACACGCTTCGTGGGCCCCTATGGAGCTCCACTCAAGGCCCCAATGGCACCGTCCACATGCGTCCGCCACACCCATGTCACACACCCCTCACACGCTTCGTGGCCCCATACGGAGCTCCACCCAAGGCCCCAGTGGCACCGTCCACACGCGTCCCGCCACACATATTTCGGCACACCCCTCACATGTTTCGTGGCCACATTGGGAGCTCCACCCAAGGCCCCAGTAGCACCGTCCACATGCGTCCCGCCAAACCGATGTCGGCACACCCCTCACACGCTTCGTGGGCCCCTATGGAGCTCCAGCAAAAGCCCCAGTGGCACCGTCCACATGCGTCTGCCACACCCATGTCGGCATACTCCTCACATGCTTCGTGGCCACATAGGGAGCTCCACCCAAGGCCCCAGTGGCACCGTCCACATGCGCCCGCCACACCCATGTCGGCACACCCCTCACACGCTTCGTGGGCCCATACGGAGCTCCACCCAAGGCCCCAGTGGCACCGTCCACACGCGTCCCGCCACACATATTTCGGCACACCCCTCACATGTTTCGTGGCCACATTGGGAGATCCACCCAAGGCCCCAGTAGCACCGTCAACATGCGTCCCGCCAAACCCATGTCGGCACACCCCTCACACGCTTCGTGGGCCCCTATGGAGCTCCAGCAAAGGCCCCAGTGGCACCGTCCACATGCATCCGCCACACCCATGTCGGCATACTCCTCACATGTTTCGTGGCCACATAGGGAGCTCCACCCAAGGCCCCAGTGGCACCGTCCACATGCGCCCGCCACACCCATGTCGGCACACCCCTCACACGCTTCGTGGGCCCAGAGGGAGCTCCAGCAAAGGGCCCCGTGGCACCGTCCACATGCGTCCGCCACACCCATGTCGGCACACCCCTCACATGTTTCGGGGCCACATAGGGAGCTCCACCCAAGGCCCCAGTGGCACCGTCCACATGCGCCCGCCACACTCATGTCACCCCTCATACGCATCGTGGGCCCCTATGGAGCTCCAGCAAAAGCCCCAGTGGCACCGTCCACATGCGTCCGCCACACCCATGTCGGCACACCCCTCACACGCTTCGTGGCCCCACAGGGAGCTTCCACCCAAGGCCCCAGTGGCACCGTCCACACGCGTCCCGCCACACATATTTCGGCACACCCCTCACATGTTTCGTGTCCACATTGGGAGCTCCACCCAAGGCCCCAGTAGCACCGTCCACATGCGTCCGCCACACTCATGTCACCCCTCACACGCTTCGTGGGCCCCTATGGAGCTCCAGCAAAAGCCCCAGTGGCACCGTCCACATGCATCCGCCACACCCATGCCGGCACACCCCTCACACGTTCCGTGGCCCCATAGGGAGCTCCATCCAAGGCCCCAGTGGCACCGTCCACATGCGTCCGCCACTCTCATTTCGGCATACCCCTCACACATTTCGTGGCCCCATAGGGAGCTCCACCCAAGGCCCCAGTGGCACCGTCCACGTGCTCCTACCACACCCATTTCGGCACACCCCTCACACGTCTCATGCCTTTGAAGATCCTGAAGCGTGCCAAAGCACCATTCTGGGGACTTCAACCCCAAGAATCAACCTGACGGTTGCGCCTTGACGATCCTGAATCGTGCCAGAACACCGCTCCTGGGACTGAACATCGCGAACCCACGTAACGGCGCCCTAGAAAAGCTGAATCGCTCTGAAATATCATTTCTGGTACGCTCACCAAGAGAATCCGTGACACCCTTGCAAATGTGTCAGACGTGTGCCCGCAGCGCTAAGGCGAGAGCCACATGTTGATGAAGAACCGCCCTCAATCCGCGAAGCTCTTGCAAATGTTTAGGAGGAATGAGCGCGGCGCTAGGGCGAGAGCCACATTTTGGAAGCGACCCGCAATCAATCTGTGAAGCAGTTGCCAATTCTAAGCTCCAGAATCATACACCGTGAAGAAATCTCAGGCGAAACACCCGGCGCCCTTCCGACTGGAGCTATTCAATAGAAAAGAAATCGAGGAGGAGGAGGCGGAGGAGGCGAATTTGAGGATGAGAACTGGAGGTTTGGAGGATTAGAGGTCTGGAGGATTCGAGGATTGGACGACTGGAGGATTGGAGGATTGGAGAATTTGAGGAGGACTAGAGAATTGGAGGGTTGGATGATGAGGAGAAGGATGGTGAGGAACGGAAGAGGATTGGAGGGGGGGAGCGATGCAAAGCGTTCCTGGTGCTGCGTCGGGGCGGGGCGGAAGGCAGCAGGAGAGCTCTGTCCCTGTACCTCTGGGAGTACCGTCTGGCAGGAGCCCAGATGGAGGAGGGCGAAGGAGACGAAGACGACGAGGATGAGGACGACGACGGCGACGGAGAATACAACGACGACGACACCAACAAGGACGACGGGGAGAAGCACGACAAGATGCACGAGGATGAGGATAGAATTCGAACAGAGAAGGAGGACGACACAGGGTAGGAAGAGTAGGATCACCAAGAGGACGTGGTGGATGTGGAGGAGGGGGGGAAGGGAGAGAGGGAGGGAGGAAGCGAAAAGGAGAGGAAGGAGAGAGCTCTCTCGGAAGCTGGCGGCCCCCTCCAGCCCGGCCCCGGGGCCAGCGCCCCCAGGGGAAGTCCTTCGCCGAAGGTGCACACGCTCTCTTTCAGGCCGCCCATGATGCCCCCCTCCTGCCACACCTTGGCAGGCCCCAGGACGGCCAAGCGCCCCCTCCAACGCCGGCGGGAGGGAGGACCCACGTCGGACTGCAGCCGAGGGACGATGGGCAGGGAGAGAAGCGTACCGATGCTGAGCCCAAGATCGCCCTGGCCAGGATCGTCGCGAGTGTATCGCTGGCGGTCTCCGGGGGAGGGCCTTCAGGAGGGAGAAGCGAAGGAGCGTCGCAAAAAGACCGCGATCGTTGCCCACTGAGCGCGTGGCGCGCTGCAGCGACAGGCCACGACGTGGCGTGGCCACCGCACCGCCCCCCGGGGGCCCCCCACGGCGAGAGCCCCCCCGCCCGACCCGCAAGGCGCCCGGGGCCCGCGCCGGCTTCGGCTGGCGCGGGCGCAGCAGGCCCTCGCCGCCCCGCCGCCGGCCGCCCGCCGCGGCTGGCTCCGCGAAGGGCGCCGGCGGTGCCGTCCTCGGCGTGCAAGCGCCGTGGCCGACGGGGGCTGCCGAGGGGGGGCAAAACGACCCGCGACGCTGACGCGGAGGACGACGAGGAGCACGAGGAGGGCGAGGGCTCAGCCTTCTGAGCAGCCGGGCCATCCCACGACGACGACGACGAAGAACGACCGACGACGACGACGACGACGACGACGACGACGACGACGACGACGACGACGACCTCGCTGACTACGCTGAAGACGCTGACGAGGAGCAGCACGAGAAGGAGGAGCACGAGGAAGAGGAGGAGGAGGAGGAGGAAAAGGAGGGAAGGAGGAGGAGGAGGAGGAGCACGAGAAGGAAGAGGAGGAGGAGGAGGAGGAGGAGGAGGGTTTGGCCTTCTAAGCGGCCCAGCTTCAGAATGGGCCGTCCCAGGGCACGGCAAAACTGTCGTGTACGCACGGAGGCTCGCGGCCCAGTGGCTCGGAAGATAAAAGTTTGTTGTTGTTTTTGTTTTTTTGTTCTCTCTCTCTCTCTCTCTGTATCTCCCCCTCTCTCCACGAACCGCCAGTGACCCACGCCGAGGGACCCATGGCCCAGTCAGCGGAGGGGCTCCTCCTCTTCCTCCTTCCCCTCTTCCTCCTCCTCCTCCTCCTCATCATCATCCGCCAGTGATCAACGCCGAGAGGCCCATAGCTCAGTCAGCGGGGGGGGGCCTGGGCCCGACCGGACAAACCCAGGACCCCCACCCCCCGGCCGGAGGACGAGGGGAGGAGCAGGAGCAGCAGAACCGACCCAGGATGCAGCACCCATGCTGCAGCACGCGCTTCCGTCCCAGGTGCCCCTCCGCGCAGCCTCGCCACTGCGGGGAGCGCCTCCTTTGCACGACGAGCGCCTGGTGGGCCTGCCGCTCGTGCGGGACCGCGTTGCGTGAAGGATGCACCCTCCGCCCTTCTAGCTGGAGGACTCAAAAGGAAGCAGGATGAGAACATTCAAACAGCGATTGCCCCGTATTGAGGAAGGATCTGCCCTCCGTCCGTCTGAATGTTGCACAACGTGAAAAAAGCCCTGGTAACAATGAGTGCGGAAGTCCCCCTCGGAAACTGGATCGGGAACCCCATTTTGAAAAGAAACCGCCCTCCGTCCGCGACTGCTGGACACTGAGAACTTCGGATCATAGAATTTGCAGGAAGCTAAATCGAGAACAGTTTCTGTTAATGCGAGCCGGCCTCCATTGATGTAATGGTTGGAGATTGTTAAAAAGACTGCGCGCGGTGTTGGAGCGAAAGCCGAATGTTGGACACCACCAGCCCTCCATTCTTGCAACTGGAATGTTGACAATGAGCGGCACGAAGGAGAAGCGAATCTAAGAAATCACCAGTTTCCATCCTTGGAACTGGTAAGATTTACTTTGCTCCAAAATCGCAACGGTCGGAAAACGCGAGGCCCAGATTACGGACCCGCGTGGTGGTGTGACAGGGGAAAACGCGTATAAGGAAAAGAAATGGAAGATGGACAAGAGGGAGAAGGTAGGCGGAGGTCTGGCTGGGTACCTGGGATATCAGGCCTTCCCTGAGGGCCGCCTTGGAGTCGTGGCGTGACGGTGCCATGGGTGGGTGCAGCTTGCAAAAGCCAAAAAAGTCAAAACCCGTCCGTCGCTGTCTAGTTTGCGACGCCTGAATCTGGGGAGCCCATGCTGCTCGATCCTCCTCCACGCACGACCATCGATCCTCCTAGCATCACGATCCTCGACTCGATACGCATCGGTCCTCGCTCCTCCTCGATCCTCCTCGTCGATCCTCCTGCTCGATCCTCTTCGATCCTCGATCTTCCTCTTTCATCGATATTCGGTCCTCCTCGCCCCTCGGTTCTCGTCTCATGATCCTATCGGGACCACGGCATCCAAGCTGGAACGCCCGCGCGCGTCCAGCCTGCGGGCGACGACGACGACGACGACACCTACGCCAACGGCGACGACGCCGACGACGCGACGACGATCAGGCCGAGCACGACGACGACGACGAGGATGATGAATGGATGAATGAATGAATGAATGAATGAATGAATGAACGAACGAACGAACGAACGAACACACGCAAGCACGCACGCACGCACGCACTCACGCAGATGATGATGATGATGATGATGATGATGATGATGATGATGATGATGATGATGATGATGATGATGATGATGATGATGATGATGATGATGATGATGATGATGATGATGATGATGATGATGATGATGATGCTGTAGGCTGCTCGCGAGAATGCCTCTAGGCAAGAGGTGATCCTTCCGTGCTGGGCGAGCCGATCGCTGCATGCGACGCGACGGCGGTGGCCTGCGTGCTGAGGTTTGGCCCCGCCCCCCCCCCCCCCCAAGACCCCCTCCGCCCCCGAGAGCCGTGCACCAAAGGCCACCCCGGCGAAAGGCCACCCTTTTGAGAAAAAGAATGATCGCGCTGGGAGAAACCCCAAACAGAATCCCGAGGACTCTGACCCATGTTAGCGTCGTCGTCGTCGTTGTCCCCCTTCAGGGTCGGCGGCATCGGCCGCAAGGCCTTCGCAATACAGGGCACAACTGTGTAAAAAGCATCTTGAACATACAGTCGGGCTTGATTGGAGAGGACACGCGAGAGGGCACATTACCACAGGAATGTAAAAAGCACGGGCCTCTAAAGACAGGACACGAGGGTACACTTGGCTTGGCAGGGTCGACCGACTAATCAAGGCCGCCTGTACGCGATCACACGGACGAGCTGATCATTTCTCCCGGCCACATCCTCCCGACCCGGTAATTTTCGTTCTGACCTCTACGGGCAACCGACCCGCCTCGGACCACTACGGCCAGCGGGTCCTCGGCCGGACCCGCACGCCCGGGCGCATGCTCTGGCGCTCGGGCGGCGAGGACGGCGTCGCCGTCTCGAGCTCGCCTCGCGGCGGCAGGTTGACGAGCGCCGCCTGCGTGGGCCATCGTCCTCGTCGTCGTCATCATCCTTCCTCCTTATCGTTCTCGTCCTCTGCTCATCCTTGCCCTACTCTTCGTCCTCCCTCCCTCCTCGGTCCTCCTGCTCCTCATCCTCCTCCCCGTACTCCTTCCTCTCTCCCCCATCCTCTTCGTCATCTTCCTCCTCCACCCATCCACCCCTCCTCCTTCTTCTCCTCCTCCTCGTCCTCTTCCTCCTCCTCCTGCTCCTGCTCCTGATCCTGCTCTTGCTCCTGCTCCTCCTCCTCCTCCTCCTCCTCCTCCTCCTCCTCCTCCTCCTGCACCTCCTCCACCTTCTCCTCCTCCTCTTCCTCCCTCGCTCGTTCGCTCGCTATCTCTCCCTCTTTACCTCCATCACCCCTTCTCTCCTTCTCTCTCTCTGTCTCTCTCTCTCTCCCTCTCTCTCTCTCTCTCTCTCTCTCCCTCTCTCTCTGGCTCTCTCTCTCTCTCTCTCGACCCTGCCACCGTCTGCAGAAACTATCGATACTGTCGTGCAGCCTACCAGATGGGCCCAAATGGCAGCGCCGCCAGCGGCACCACGCGCCCAATGAAAGTTCATCGGCAGGGCCAAACATGGCAAGACATGGTTTTAGCGTGTCCGGCGGGGGCGTCGCGGTGCCTCGCTTGAACCCCCCACCGCCTCAGGCGAAGAACTGTGTCGCCAGCCGCCCGAGGCGCGACCTCGAAAAGGTCACGTATTCGTCGCACCACCACCATCACCCTTACAAGCGCGCCGCGCTTCCCTGCTCGAGCAATTACGGGCCACCGGCTGCGACCGTTTAGTTTGCAACGACTTGTCGCGTGCAGCCTTCCCGCCTCCTCTCCGTCACCCTTCCTCTCCGAACGCCCTCCCCATCCCCCTTGTACTCTTTCGCCTGGCAGATCCCACGGCTACTGCGCCTTTGCGAGGCAATGTTTGGGCCTCGATCTACCAGCCGCGCGTGCTGTTTTTACTCATCCTCCTCCTCCTCCTCCTCGTCATCCTCGTCCCCCTCGTCCCCACCCCTCCCTTCCCCGTCCCCTTGAGCATCCTCTTGTTCCTCCCAATGTTCCTCCTTGCCCTCCTGCTCCTCCTCCTCCTCCTCCTCCTCCTCCTCCTCCTCTTCCTCCTCCTCCTCCTCCTATATCGTTATCGTCATCCTTCAGGCCCACGAACTCCCAAATCTGCGACCAGAGGGCCAAAAAGTAGTCCAAAAGTGGCTTACAGGTGGTCTCAAAGTCGTTGATCAGTGGCCCAAAAAATGGTCCAACTGTCGTTAAACAGTTGTTGAAGTTGCATAATTGTCCCAACAGTTGTTTTAAACTGCTGGGACCAATCTCCGCCGCATCCTCGCAACGCCGAGTCCTAAACCTGGCGGCAAATATCTTATCTCTGGTCTGACATGACATGTTTTACGATCACATGACACTCGCGCCACCAGGGCTGCATTCCCTGTCGCCGTTTCGTTTTCCCGTTCGCTTCCGCGGACGCCCAAGCGAAAACCTGGGCGCAAGTGGTCAATCAGTGGTGCAAGAGATTCTCCAAAAGTTGCCCAACAGGGCCCAATAGCTGTCCAAACGTGGTTTACCTTTGGTCTAAAAGCGGTATAATCCAAAAGTTGTCTAAACCTGATTTACTAACGGTCTGAGAGTTGTCTGGAAGTGGCCTAACAGATGCCTCAAAATGGCCGAGGCTTGGTCTAACGTCGCGGGCTGTGCCATGCGCATTTGGGCATATGCGGTACTGGAAGGGAGGGGGACGAGCAGGATGAGGAAGCGGAAGACAATGATGACTCTGGCGCTCGGGGGGGGGGGGGACGTGTAGAAGAATGCGGCGACAAGGGGAGCAAGAGCAGACTAGCGGGGCCCTGGCGGCAGTTCAGCAGCGGGAAACGCAGCGAAATCAGCACGCAGACGGTACAGGGGAAGGAAGAGCAGGGAGGAGAGGGAGGAAGGAGTAATGACCCCCGAGATCCACTGAGGTAACATGGCGCACAGGGCAAATTTCTCCCGCGCCCGCGCGCGCAAAGACAACAGTCGCGCTGGCACTCAAGGTGCCCAGGGGCGCGGCGCCCTCGACACCAAATCAAATCTGCCTTGGCCACATGGGCCACACGAGTGCGAAGACATACAGATCCTAAGACCTGAGATCGTCAGGTGGCCAAGGCGGCACAAGGGAGTAAGATTTCGGCAGACGGAGATATCAAAAGTGCGTCGGGCCTCAAAACTGAACCTCGTAGCGACTGGGCGACGTTCATAGCGAGCTTGACGCTGACCAGCCAGCGCCACTGAATCGGCAGCACGCCCCGGTCCCGCTGCCACTGCACGGCGAAAAGAGTGAGCTCGTCCAAAGTCCCGACAAGATGCTGTCGATGTTGCCCCACGTCTCCACAGCGCACGGCAGCACGGACTCCCCAGCAGAGGGCCAGTATCGATCTTCGCTCACTGAGCTACGTTTTCAGCTGCAGACCGTGGGGATTGGCAGCGGCGCTGATGATGTGGTTTGCTGCTGGGTGGCGGACCGTGCCGTTCAGCAAACGATCCGGCACCGTTGGGCAACAGAACAACTCCACATCTCTCTCTCCCTCTCTCTCTCTCTCTCCCCGCCTCGGCCGCCTCGCGATCGGAAGCTTCGGGTGGAGTAGTGTTGTTTCAATCCTGGCGATCGAGGTTCGAAAGTTTGAGAATCGAGGACGTCGACGTCGATTCGGAGGTTCTGGGGCGTTTCTGAATGCTCTCGTCGATTGGGCAGGACGCAGCTCGAAAAACTAGAAAGGACCGTGGATCGATGATCGAGTAGGATCTCAGACTTCGGGTTGACGGATTGATTCAATCCTGGCGTTCCTCCTCAAGTTCGGTCTCCTGGGGGGCCGTTTTCGCCCGTTCGGGAGACTCTCGGCAAGACTCCGATATCCCCGCGAAGGAGGGTGGTGGAATCTACCTTCTCTTGCAAGGAACATCTACGTGGTGCAATCTGCGTGGTGCAATCTATGTGGTGCAAGCTATGCGATGCAAGCGATGTGGTGCAAGCGACATGGGGCAACCTATGTGGCGTAAGCTATGTGGTGCAAGCTATAGTGTGCAATCTACGTGGTGCAGTCTACGCGGTGTGCAATCTAGGTAGTGCAAGCTGTATGGTGCACAGTACGTTGTGCAGTTTACGTAACGCAATCAAGTAACGGATTTAATAAATTGTCACTAAACCCAGGCCCTGGAGGATGGTGGCGTCCATCTTACTTTCGTTCTTTCGACAGGAAGAATAACCAAATCAACAATGAGTTGCCAACCACACTCTTCGCGAAAACATCCCGCCCTCCCAACCGCAACTTGGTTTGCACAACTCATGCTGCCGCGATGGGGGAGACTGCGTGGCTCTGGTTGGCGCATCTCGACGGCCGCGTTGGTGCGCGCAAGCTCGTGCACAAAGCGGCCAACTTGTTTGGCACAACTGATGCGGCCGCGATGGCGCTAACTGGTGCGAGCTTCCCAGCGCGTATAGAAGGGCAGGCTAGCGCGCGGGCACCTCATTGTGGGTCGGTGGCTCGGGCGGGCGCGATGTCATAATGACGTCGACAACGACGGCAAAGATGATAATAGTAGCGATGATGGTGGCGATGATGACGATAACGACGACAAGGCCAATGACGACGCTGATGCTGGTGACGACGATGACGATGATGATGTCCATGTGTCGGTGACGAAGATGAAGACTTGATGATGGCGGCAATAGTGGCCATTGGCAATGACGAGAACGGCGATGATGCGATGGCGCTGGCGAAGGAGATAATAAGGAAATACGCGCACGCGCAGAAAGTCAAGAAAACTGGCAGGCACCGTTATTGAAAAACTGGTGGTGTTCCACATGTTTCTGGAAAGCTGTATCTTAACATGCGTCGAAAGCCACTGGTTTGGGACGGATTTCGACACGCGCGCGTGGCGGCGCACGCGTGTGGCCCGCATTGCATCAACTGATACGGATTCGCACACTAGGCGCATGCTCGTCAATGCAGATCCACCACGTGGTTAGATGAGAATGCAGGTTCCCACGCAAAAAAACGAACAAAACAAATGTGTTCTTATCATTTCAGCAAATGCGCGGGCAGAAATGATGCAAAAGCCTACGTGTTTTTGGTGTCCGTATGTGGTCTAGTTTCGACAGGTGCGCGCAAGTAGACTTAGTTGTATGTTTCGCAAGGTTGTGAGTTCAACGAATGCGCGCTTGGTAGCATGTGACAGGGATGAGAGGGGGGCGATACAGGCCTGGCTGGGAAGGTCTGGTTTCGTCTGGAAGTGAAGGATGAAGCAGAATCATGTGTAAGCTGTACTATCCCAGGGGTAGTGGTAAGTCCAGGGTCGGGAGGGAAGTGGAGTCGGTTTTCCTCTTGAAAGTGGAACTCTTAACCTAGTCAG